CAGTTGCGAGAAAAAAACATGCATCGTTTTTCGATTGACCCACTAGTTATACAAAAACACTGATTCTCTTTTTCATTTTAGCATATTCATCATTAATCTGGTCACCTATTGTGGCTAAGGCTTACCGGTTTATTCAAAAACTCTAAGGAAGCATAAACAATGTTGCAGATAGCAAAGGAAGCCATCAGATATCTGTAGCTGCCCATACTTTTTTGTCCTTTCTTGCATGTAATAAGTATAAACAAAAAATTTATCAGTACAGCTAACACGGCGATTACTGTAGATGCAGTAGTTTGAATGTCCTTAGCGTTCATTTCGGATTAGTAGAGCCTCAAAAAGTTTCGATTTGGCAATGTTATAGCATCTTGAGAATCGCGGCAGGTGAGTTGGACATAACATCGCTCGCGTTTTATATGTTACAACGTTCGAACAAAGAATGACAAGTTGTTTTGAAAATTTGTTCAGATTTTTCGCACATACTTTGTACCCTAGCTGGGAAGAGCGGAAAGAAGCAATCAGTTTGGAAATTGTGTCACTTTTGGAGGGAAATTGAGGTAGACGCACAAACAGTAAATATTACAGTGTGCGCCAAAATTGTTTGCGTCAAAATATTAAAGTTAGTCACAACAAACCCAATCGGAAAATTCATTTGGATTTTATTTCGCAGAATGCCGCAAGCATGCTCTATAACAAACAGTTCCAAGACCTTAAAGGTCCTTATTCGAAGAACTAAGAACTGCAATAAACATAATTGCGAAAAACGCATGCTGACTGTAGTAAAAAATGTTAAGTATTTTTGTTTCGAGCTTCCACAGACACTCCAATACCTAGTGATTTCAAAGTTGAAAATCAGCACTATTTTGATACAAAATCTTTTTATGAGAGAAACGAGAATGAAGAATATACGTGCTGGATAAATTTGCGAGCTTCTACCCGTGTGTAACACGCGAGAAAATCGGAGAAATATTAGGTCGTCCCGAAACTATTAGGTTGTTACATAAGTCTTGTTACACTTAACTTCTAACGGCGATAAGTCATGCACCTCATATCCTTTACAGGGCTACAGGATACCGTTCGATAGAACAAAGCAAGCTCTACAAGATTGTATGCAAAAGTTCGCACCAGTTCCGACCCACTGCAAGCTTGCATCCAAGATCTGAGTCACAGAAAGCTCAAAAATTGCGAAAGATTCATATCTTTGTTCAGAAAAATCGAATTCCAACCTACTCACAAAAATTGCCCACTATATCAATCATATGCACCGTTGCTGTATTTATTCCTCATCTAAAAATCGAAAAAAGAAATTTTTTTAGTTTTTACAAAAAATAAGCTATGCTGTTTCTATTCATGTAGCTGTATGCTACAACCCCTTAGAAGTATAACTGTAAATTTTCGACTCTCCAGAAACCCTATCTTCGAAAATTACCTGATTTAGCATTGAACACTTGAGTGAGAGAAGCTAAATTTAGTATTTTTCGAAAACTACGGCTTCCGGAGAGCTGAAAATTCACAGTTATACTTCTAAGGGCTTGTAGTATACAGCTACCTGAATAGAAATAGCATATGTTCTTTTTTGTGAAAACTAAAAAAATTTCCTTTTCTCAATTTCTAGATGAGGAAAAAATACAGCAACGGTGCATATGAGTGTTTGATATAGTGGGCAATTTTGTGAGCAAGTTGGAGATTCGTAGGATTTTTATGAACAAAGATATGAATATTTCGCAATTTTTCAGCTTTCACTGTGACTCAGATTTTGGATGCAAACTTACAGTGGGTCGAAACTGTTGCGAACTTTTGCATACTATCTCGTAGAGCTTGCTTTGCTTTATCGAAAGGTATCCTGTAGCCCTGTAAAGGGTATGAGGTGCATTACTTATCGCCGTTAGAATTGAAGTGTAACAAGACTTAGGTAACAACCTAATATTAGGTTGTAACAGAATTAATGCAGGTTTTTCACACCTCGTGTCGTTTTAGAAAAAAAAATTACATTGTCTGAAACTATGCACACCCTCTGAAGGCACTCTTCTTCTAGTTTCTTAGGCACGCTTTCGTTTCAGGAGAACTGGGTTCATTTCGAAATTACGTGGTTTTGAAATCAAGAGACTAAACCTTGAAAATTCAAAAAACAGCAAAAAAAGCACCTCGTCGTCTTTTGAGAGCACTTGTGAAGAATGAGTGATTGCAAATTTTTGGCAAAATTTTCTAGCAGAATTTTTTTTCGTGAAAATCAACTTTAACGCTGCTGCGCACCCGACTATTATCTGCACAGTGAATGAAGTTAGTACCATTTTACCACATTGTATAGTGAGTTATGTTCTCAAAAACCGAAAGTTTTTCAAGAAAACTTTTGGCAGTCTTCGGGCTATGAGATTTTTCGCAGTAAGGCTACAACGGCAAGGTAGTACGTGTTAAATTGCCAAAAGTTTGCTGATTGCAGTAATTTTTATTGGGAACGGATTGACTATTTCTGCAGAAAGTTATAGTGATCCAAACTCAAAATTTGGAAAACGTGCATAAATTCTGTTACAACCTAATATTTTCGCTCTTTTTTTTGAACAGCTGCTACAAATTGCAGATCAAAGAAATATAGATGACTTGGTACCATTCGACGCATCTTTCCATTCTGTATCAGATGGTTTCGGCCTTATTGCAGTCCATTGCAAAAGCTTCTAAAAAATCACCAAATTCTGAAACTCATGTTTTCTGCCAAGGTCAATTTTTGCTGTTTTTCTAAGTTTTCTACCGGCCCTCTGAAGACATCCAAACGATAGATAGAAAGTATAAGCCCTACAGGGCATAGTGAAATTTTTTTCCTTCATAACTTGCTTCTGAAAATTTCCGAAATCATCTTTTGAAGCTATCAAATCCATACATTTAATGCAGCTTTTCACCTCGCTCTAACGGTGTTTTTTCACGAATGGAATGCTTGGTGAAAAAAATCAGCACAGTTCTTGTTTTTAAACGCGTTCGGGTTGTACTATGAAGAATCGACATTTGATATTTTGGATCCGTGAAAGCTCATTTGCATTGGACTACTGGTGTCTGTCATAAGTAATTTTGAATGGTCCAGTTTCCGAAGGTGAATTAGTGTTTAACGTGTTTGCTTCTGAGATAGGCTTATCAAAATTCGACGGTTTTGTTTAAAAAATCATTTCAAAAAATTTTGGATATTGAAAGAAAAGAAAAACTGTTCTGTGTCTTATATTGTCTGCAATTTCTACACGTCATTGGACGTCTTTGGAAGTTGGTATGAATATTTGGAGAAAAGCGAAACCCGACCTTGCAAAAAGCATGGGCTTCAGATTTTGGTGATTTTATAGGAACTTTTCAATGTACGGCATAACCGTCTAAAAGAGGAAATATGCGTCGAATGGTACCGAAGTCTTCTGTACTCGCTTACTCTGCAAATTGTAGCAGGCTTTCAAAACGAAGATACTTTCGGGACATCCTAACATAATGAATTTTTGACGAAAAGAAGAATAGGCAAATTTACATTTTTTAGCTAAGTTACAATAATGTGAAACTAACAAGGGAAGGAGAGCGTGTTTAGTCGAAGTACATGCGATGTTTACCATTTTTAATAGTTAGGATCGTACAGTCTTAGAGGACATTGACCGCTGATTTAAAATCTTTCTTATCTGCGGAGCGCCTCTGGATGAGGGGTTATACCACCTTATCAACATAAAATTAATGGTGACATCCTTTGTAACTCGCAAATGGAATAGCGCGAGCACGCGGATAGCAAGGAGTGACTCCTTGTCACATGCACTTTGGAATCAGGTTCAATGTTCTTCAAAATGCGTCTTTTCTGGATTCCTACTTCAATTAAGAACCTTTTCTTTGTTATCTTTGAGAAAAAGGAAAATCAAGCTTGAATAACTCGCTAAACGGTTTCAGCGAATTTGCAAAAGTTTGTAATGGCTTTCGTTCGCATAGTTACTCATGAATCTGTCAACCTAAGTAAGCTCTCTTCAAGCGCCGTGCACCTTGAATATGATGCGAAATTACTACCCATTAGCAAACGATTCTGAGAAGAAAATTTGAACTCAGGAACTATGCGTAGTCGCATTAGAGCATGTATAACCGCTGACTATGTCTCAGCTTCTTCAGGTGAGCACTTTTGGAAGGGCGATTTAAAAAAAGAGTTTTGAATTGAATAAAACTGCAAACTTTTAAAGCTCCTCACCGAAGTCAGCAAAACGGGTCCCCTGCTTTTTTTCTCTAAAAGGGATTTCAGCTTGCGCTTGTGCAGCTTTGAGCCTGGTTTATATGTACCTTACCAGCGCCTGTTTATTTGTGCAGTCAGTGTCACATTTGCATGGACGTTGAAAGGAGTTGCTGAAGAATTTTCGGTTTTCAGATTGTACAGGTCCCCATCTACATATTTTGCCTGTAGCCTAGGTGGAATAAGCATGCGATATTAGATTGAAATCCAGTTGATTGCGCTGACTGAATTAAGACTTGATATGTATGGCTTGGGTTCCATACGTGAATACATCTCAGGTGAATAATAAGATACAACTATTTTATTACCAGCTGGCATACCCGGCTCCGAACGCCCCTGTAATTCACTAAGATAAGGCCACCATTTCTATTTCTGTGCAACATCATCCTGTCCCTGTCCACTTCTATATGCCAGTTTCCCTGACCCAACCATGTTATAAGCACGCTCACTTCGCTGTGCCTTCTCCTAGTCCTGTGGCTCAAAGTTTGCATAAAACTAATAAATCGATAAACATAATCAATATTTTAAAGCATCATTATTTTATTCGTAATCAGCAGGCTCACTTCCACCCCCTCCCCTCCTCCCCTGTGCCAACTCCCAGCGGGTATTTGCAAACAATTGATAAAATCGGTATAAATCGACAATGAAAGTAGCCTAAGGCATCCGCCCCGCTATAAAGTGTATTATGCACGCAAAGTTTGGTCCGGATCGGTTAAATAGAATTTTATGTGGGAACTTACGCACAAACACGCATATACAGACAAGCAGACATTAAGATTTATATAAGATGATCGTGTATTTAGGACACAGCACAACAAGCACACTGTGTTTTTACAGTTAATGTCATAATCGAACACTGTGAATTTTGAAAATTACACATGAACAGCAGGGGCCCTTACAGCATTTCGCGGCACAGAAAGCGTGATAGGGAAATGAAGCAAGCAAAAACAATTTTCAACGCAAAACCTACTTACTGACAGATAAAATTAACATGACGTTTCTACCGTTCTCAAAGGAAAGTCTTTTTGGACCGTGCCCGCCTGCATCAGCGATTGATACTAAGAGTATCTGACTAAGTAAACTAACGCGATATATTCTACGTCTACGCTATTGCTAACATCAAATAGCAGCGGTGGTTAATCATATCTCATCTATTCTGTACATCTTTTCGGCAGCCGTAAACCAGCCTTCATACTCTGCTATCTCTGGTGTTACATCATTGTTAAAATGGCCTGAAAAAATTGGTTAAGATCTTCAAAGAGAGTTTCCTTACGCAGCCTCAAGCAATCTGATACAGACCTGCATCATTGTGCTCGGAGATGCAATGAGTGTGTAGCATCCTCAATTTGAAACCTGGATCGTAAGAGTGGAAGACCGACGCACAAAGCAGTGGCGCACTAACTTCAAAGACTCGAAACCAATTTTCAACCTGGAACAACTCTCGTGATATACTTTTTTAGATGAGTCATCGAAAATTACCTCAGCCATTGAAGCGAAAGGTTTTTCGGGGAACTCAGGAGCGATATGAATGCTTGCCCGCCCTTGTTGTAGGAGAAAAAGTCCACCAAGCACAACACAACTCAAAGCGTGGGTTTTTCAGGTCACCTGAGTATTGAAAATGAAAGAAAACTCTTACTTCTGCCCATATTCCTTCTCCAAACCGTTTCGTATGCAGCTAGGAAGACTGTCTTTGCCAGTACGTTTAGAGCATTTGATATGGACTGAATGTGAACTTTCGCTTACGCTAGTTTCCTTCGATATAATGAGAAACAAAATTATTCTTCCAAAACGCACTAAGCTCATCCGGCCCTGGTTCAGCTGTCACAATGAAATTACCAGTCAGCGTAAACTTTGTCGAGTTTATTGCTTTCGTCTCGAATGAAGTAGCCGTTTCGTCAACCAATGTGGTAATTTTTGAAGCCACCTAAAATGTAAGATGCCAAATACAAATCAGAAAAGTTTTTGTGCTTTGTATTCAAAGCTGGTAATTTGGACTTTGCAAAAAAATTTGAGATCGGCTTTGCGTGTATTGACTGAAGACTCAACTCAACTTGTTTTCCTTGAGATTTGCATCGACGAACAACTCGCCATTCCTACCAACCACACCCATTGGACAACCAGCTGGTCCAAAGACGAAGGCATTAGGTGTTCCACACTTCTGGCAAACTTCCTAGAAGGAAAAATTATGTAGCACGCTGTCGGCGTCAAAGTGCTATCACCCTGATATCGTAATGCTTTTCTTTGTGGAAACCCGGGTAGAGGTTTCCCATTCCACCAACTTCAGCTATTACCATGTTACGACCAAATCCCTTCCCTGTCATTTTGAATGGAGGAGCAGTGAGATCTGGAAATTTCGACAAATACTCGTTAATTCAACGGATCGGCGGCTGGGATGCGACCGCTCGCGCCCGCGACGCAGTCTGCATCTCTCTCGCGAGCGTGCTCTTTGATCATTCCCTAACCTTGATTGGGTTTAGAAACCCCGCCTTCCAGCCGCCAATCCTGTTGAATCAAAGAGTAGTCTTGCATAGTTTTTTGTTAGAAATTAGAGAGTTCATGAGTGACATCTGTACTTTGCGAACAGTCATCGAAAAGTTTCGTACAACACTTGTTTGTATCAGCTTTTATTTTATCATAGTGCGCAATTACAACTAGTCGGCAGTTTCTGTCTGATTTGGTTAGCTGTTGATATACCAAATTTGCGAGTTGAAATGTCCATGTAAAGCGGCTAGGCCGTTTTTTTTTACTTTTTTTTTGCTCCTTTTCCCTGCCATAGTGATCGTTATCGCTACTCTGAGCAGCTAGATTAAAATTCAAAAAGAATATTGGCAGCTATTATGCAGACTAATAAGCGGTGAATCTGAGCTTTTGAGCAAGATCGAAGCGCATGGTAGCTTACAATTCAATGTGTTATAGGAATAGGCAAAGAGCAAGACAAGCTTAAATAAGTGTGCAAGAGATCAGTATGGAAAGGAATTGAAAGTTTTCTCGGAACGTTATGAATTTACTGTTGGCCGATTTAGAAGGAATTATTGCCTTTTGAAGAAAAGCGAGTTTTTTTCTGTGCGAGGGCGTATTCACACAACATTGCGTTTTTGCTTTCATTTCCCGGCATGACAAGATGAAGCTAGAACCCAAATAAAATGCGCCTTGACTACAATTTATCTCACCAAATATTCTGGTGTGTCACTTCAAACGAGACTTCCCCGCGTACATATAAGGGATTTAGTAACTGGCAGTATTGACATTCCTTTCATACGAGAGTAAGTGGCGGTATTGACATTCCTTTCATACGAGTTTTTCTTAGCCAACATTTTAACGTTTGATAAGTAAAGCTGACCTGGACATTTTGCGACTTCCACTTTGACTTTTTTGAAATTTTTTGCCAAACTGGCAGCAACAACAGAACAAAGCTCTTTATTGCTTGGTTTGAATGTCTTGATTATGTAGCTGCTCCATGACATCTGAAGTTGATATTTAGATAAGAAACAATTTGCGGTGGTAAAGATTGCGACGTTCTAATTCGTAATTTTTCATTTCCAGGATCCGGCAACACTTTAGAACAGATAAAATGATGGAAATAAACAAAATATTATTCTGAACGAAATATTATCAGTACAAAAGAATAGACGCTTTACGAGAGAGTATGAGGAAAAATTGAAAAGCTGTCTATGAAGAGGGATTTATCGACGTTTGAGTGTAAAAGCTGTGCGCCTACACTTTTCACACAACTTGTGCGTGATATTGACAATTTCAGACCAGAACGCATATTCGAATGCTGCCTCACCTAAGCAGAGCTAGCTGTTTTGCACGTCAGTCGGTACAATCTTTGTGCAGAAAAAAACTTCATTGAAATTTTTCAAATCTGCGATTGTCAGAAGTGTCGAATATCAAGATATTTGAGTATACTGTTAAATACTATCAACCAAAAATCGCTAACATTTACTGTTAATAGTACCAACTGAAAATCGTTAGCATTCGACTTTTATTAATCCAAGTCTAGAAATCTCGAATATTCGATCTCCCGAACAATTTGCATCTACTATCTTGTTCGAATGGTTGAGTATCCGATTCGTTGCAAAGTACAGTATGGCTGTATTTCATCATTTCCTAGGTTCGATTAGAGGTGAGTCACCGAGGATGAGAACTAAGGCTAAGCTTATTGCAGTGGTGTGGTTTTATTGTAAAATATGTAAATGCCAATTAGAAATTTTTAAGGCGACTTCCGTGTAACAGGCAAATTTGTAAAACCTCGCTCAAAGATAAGATGCCCCTAAATTGTGTTGCAGCTTGAAAAATTTGCAGGATTTTCATCTTCTATTAGATTCTGATTGTCGGAATACCCATGGCTATGTTGCACGATGCCACGCTCAATGGAGTGAACATTGAAGGTATGGCCGAGAAGTTAAATTGCGATGCATCATAAAAGCCAAAGACGAAGTATGTATGTTGAATTTGGCACAGATGAGAAGATTCTGAAATGTTTGTTTAACTGATTTGCAGAGACTCACCGTATTGTAAAACGCTTCAAAGTGAATAAACCTATTGCCATCATTCATTAATATCTGAGCGGATTTCTCTAATTTCTCCTCATAAAGAACATTTGGTTTATTTTGCTGATTCAATGCATGATGAATGATGCTGATTGTTAGCAAGAAATAACGTAGATGATTATTCGAATGTGCTCAAGAGGTCCAGTCTTTTTCAGGCGATCCCACTTTAAAGCAAAACATTTCAAAGGCTAATATACGAATATAGCATGCAAAGATTGAACATGTGACTTACTGATCTATCTTGGGTGTATTTTTGCTTTTGTCTTGCAGGCTATTCTACCCACAAATACCGTTTCCACATAATAACAGTCAGGCGAAGATGAACTCGTTAAACTAGTATGCCCTTATTCAGAAACCTCCCTTAGCTTCCAACACTGGCAGCAGCAACAGAATTTCGTCACAGCGATCTTAGCTAATCTCCAATTTGAGCAGGCTGATATTGATGAAGTTGCTTAGGCCTAAAAAAGCAAACTTCCTTCATTAGTCGCCGCCCACACAGACGGAGTCCAGGTCAGCTGTCTGCCTCGACAAGGTATATGAAATGCAGTACTCAAGCTTTTAAAAACTTCATCAACTTGGAGGTTGCAGCCTTCTTCTCAGGATTGTGTTTTTTAGCAGGCAATGTGAATAAAAAAAATGAAAAGGGGGAAAAGCCGATAACACACACACATCTACGTTTATTGAAAGAGCCTACACTCTGGCTCAACGAACTGTTAAATTCCTGCTTTTCAAAGAATATCATGCCATGCTTTCTTACAATATAAGAACCGCGATGATCTTTACAAGGCATTTTTGATAGTGGAGCTACTGACAGAGGTGTTGTTTCTTTTTCCAGTAAATCTTGAGCGATTGCGAGTACGGCTAGATCATTGAGATTCTGACTTCCTATAGGGATCTTCCGGTGGGCCAGCCACGATTTCTTCTACCGAGTTCTTCTTCTCTTCTATCCTTAGTCGTTGGATCATCAAAGCTCGTGAATTAAGCTGCCTTTGAAAGGTTGAAGACAGAAGTCACGCCGTTGATTGTTTAATCATATACTCACTCCTGTATAAATGTTATATGATATTATGCCAATGCCAGGTTTGTACAGTGGAATTCTTTATTGGCCTTACCTTTCGACAATTTCTTCTTCGTCGGAGGCCTTTATCCACCTGGTGTTAGTGAGAGTCAGTAGAGTCAGTACTTAGCCGCACCGAAGAGACAGACTACACTAGAGCACTAGCATGATATCATATAACAATTACTAACTCATTCCCGAATGCCAAGGTTTAGAGAAGAGAGAACGTGGAGCTTACTCACTCCTTTATGTTAAAGGAGAAAAAAATGGCAGGAAAAATCCTTGACTTTACTCTTGCATCCCATGTATTTTCATTTGGACATGATTTCGTCCATGATTTTTTCCGACATGATTTTCGATTTTCAGATATGATCCGTATTCACAACAAAATGAAAACCACATCATAATAACCAATGCAACCGGTCAATAACCAGTTTGTTGGACATGAGTGTTTTCCGTCCAGATTCTTCTTCTTTTTCATCCTCGATCTAGCTAAGCTTTTCACCTTCTACAACACAAATTCCCTTCCCTATCGTCCGCTACGAATCCTCCCCAATTCATCCCGGTATGACCCCAGGCCCGCTTGACCCTAGCTTGTAGTGTTTGAGCATGAAGTTCCAAAGTATACGTTGTACTGCAGGCACTCTCTGTTGTTTGTTTGAGTTAGCAGTTCCATCACGATTGTTGCCAGTATTTGATTCCAATTACATTTATTTTACATTTGCAATGAAACTCTACCACCTCCCTCGTTGGCGCATAAAACTTGGTCATAACACTCAAACAATCGCAAATGACTTCAAGGACAAATTGAAGTTTTAAAACTTTCGGGGGACACTCCTACTGGAGCCGTCGGCGGGACCCACCCACACGGCCTAATAGGAGCGTCTCCCAGTAGCTTTAGAAGTTCAGTTTGCCCGGAAGTTATTTGGATTGTCTGAGTAAACATTCAAATTTCATCCTGTAATAACTATCGCCACAACTCTTAACATCATATTATAATAGCGAGTATGATCACAAAACATAAGATCTTAATTATGTTGTAGGCATCGCTAGGAATCGTATGAATGACAGAAACTCATTATTGCTGTAGATAATGAGTTTCCGTCATTCATACAATCTGCTTAGCGATGCCTATAACATAATCAGCGTCAAAACATCTAGACTAGAAACGTACAGCATGTTTCAATCATCACATACAGCATACAACATTCAACAGTGCTCCGTATGTAATTTAATTCATTAACTCAGTGAAAACAGTCTGACAGGAAGCACAGTCCAGATAGACCCGTTGTGTTCAAAAGTTATTCAACATCTTCGCTTTAGCAATTGTTTGGAGGTTAAGAGCGATTTGCAAAGTTAGATTTGCTCATGACAATTAGCTTTGTGTATCTCAGCTCTTCAACGTTTTGCAAAATTCAAAAACTTTGCAGAGTTGGGAGCTAAATTAGCCAGCGCTGTATTAACACTGTCAGAAACCCTTCTACAGCCAGACGCTCTGCACCTGTTTGAAACCTTAGCTCCATATCTTTCTTCTGTCAACGTGATAATGAACTTCAAAAAGATCCGTATCAAATGCAGATTCTAGCTATGTTTTATTGACTGATGAATAAAAACAGCAACGTCCTCTATAGAAAACCGAAATATGCGCATTTTCTCAAGCTTTGTTACAGCGTGAAGAATGGAGGTGAAACAACTCATGGCTATCGCTTCTACAACGTTGTTTGTGGTTGCACTCATCGTCAACATCACGTTTATCTACATTGTTTATAATAACGGAAGAAAGAGTATTGGCACGTATAAATACTTGCTAGCATCTTTTTCACTCTGCAATATTCTTTACTCTTCCTTTGAATATGCAAGCAAACCGGTAAGGAATGCCTTCAGTTGCAATCATTGAACGGCTGCCATATGGCAGAAATAAGATATACTTCGAAAACTATGCAATCATTGTTACAGGCGGTCCATATCTATGGTACTTCTTGCATAATTTACAACAATGGTTTATATGAAGATTCACCAAAATGGGGAACGGTGATGCTATGCTGCTTCTATTCGATGTATGGTATGGGAACTGCCCTCTTAGCTTTACATTTCCTTTATCGCTATTTTATAGTATGCAGGTGCATCTTTGTATTTTTGTATGAAATGTGGTATTCAAAACTATTTATGTGTAGCAGTGTTTTAGACCTGAAAGAAGTACGTATTTTGAACTGCCCTGCATTGCGCTCTGGATAATTCCAATGCTGCTTTGGGGTCTACTTTATGCATTCTTGGCTTATTACAGTTCTGGTCCCACTGAAGAGATTTATAACTATGCGGAAGAATCAGTTCGTAACACTCTTCATCGCGAACTAAGAAAAATGGCATTCTTTTGTATGTTCACTCATGTAAGCTTTGCATCAGCCGTCCATCACTGCTTTCTATAATTACAACACGCATTAGTCTCTTGTTCCAGAAAGTCGAAGACGGAGAGGTGACTATCTATTGGAGAGCCTCAGTAGGGTTGGCATTATCAACAGTGATGCTGATCTTTACTTTCGGTCTTATGGTGATATGCGGGATGAAAATAATGAGGACCTTAAGAGAAATGGTCATGAGCAAAAAGGCAGTTGCACTTCAGAAGCAGCTACTTGCTGCCTTAATTGTTCAGGTGCTGAATAAAGTCTATTAGGTGTCAAGAAAATAACGTCGGTTTCTATTCGCTGCCGTGACATCGCAACGAGGCCAACCTCAAGAGCGCTTGAGCGATACTGTTTGGTAGAGCTCGCCATGTTCGTTCCTCGTGAAGTTAAAAATCAAAGTCTAAAAAGTTGTAAATGCCCGATAATCGAAAATAATCGGATCTCCGTTTAGAAACTTTCTAATGAGCTCCCACTTGCAAAAATCTATACTATCGACATCAGACATTCATATACACAGTTTCTGTATCTTTTCCTTGATTAGAAACTGAGGAATGGAAATTTTCCTGCTTTTTCCAAAGCAATGCTGGGCCTCCTAGCACAAGTAATTCTATATCACAAGCCTTTGCGAGTGCAACTTTGAATTTCTAGCCTTTTTCAAGCGCTAGTTTACGAGACATTTCCATTTGAGAAAAAAAACCAAAAGAAGAGAGCTAAATTGATATTCCTTGAGAACTACCGCTTGAAAAAAAGCTGAAAATCTACAGTTACGCTTATAAAGACTTGCAGTAAAGAATTACTTATGTCAGAACTGCCCAGCACTGTTTTGTGAAAAAACATGAAAATCGTTTTCTCAGTTTCTAATCAAGGAAGAAATACAGCAACTGTGTGTATGAATATCTGATGTTGAGAGTATATACATGTGCAAGTGGGAGGCCCATAGAAAGTCTTTGGACAGAAAATCGATTTTTTTCGATTTTTTGGGCAATTGGAACTTTTCAGATTTCGGTTGTTAACTTTACGTGGAACAAACTTGGCGCTGAGGCATCAATACTATTTAGAGCTTACCTTGCTCTATCAAACAATGTCGCTCTTGCGTCCTTGAAGTTCGCCAGATCGCGATGCCATAGCAAGCAATAAAAACCGACATTGTTTTCTTGACAACCTAACATAAACTTTGAACAGCGTTTTGGCTGTGACGCCTGGGTTTTTCCAAAAACAATCTATATTTCAGGCTCTGCTTCCCTTCTTGCTGTCATACTTGCCTCGATTATTAATGTATTTCTTCGTGGTCATGGAATTTCCGCCTTTGAAGTAAGTTTAGAAAAAATACCATCGTAACATTTCTGAATATTTTAGAATATACATGTTTGTTCCATTGATTATAACTATTTCGACAGTGCTCGATCCTCTGGCTATAGTATTCTTTATCACTGAGTACAGGATAGCTATTCTTGAGCTTTTCAAAAAACCTTTGCTTCTTTTGTTCAGAAAAAAGACTACCGAGAGAACTTATTCAATCAGAACCAATATAACGAATAGCTCGCGCTCGTAGGTCTTGTAAGAGTCCAAGTTACTTGTATAATATGGAGATTTTCGCTTTTCTGTATGCAATTGTAACAGCATGGCATCAGACGAGAGCATGTTTCCACAATTATCACAATTACTGTGACCTTAAGTATGATTATTAAAGTCAATTTTTTGTCGATGAGCAATATTAACGGCAATCAGAAAAAATATGAACAATGCAATATGGAGTGATCGATTCATGAAGTCTTTCTCAAGCATTTTTTCAGCCATTCGACCTTATGAACAATTAATTGGATCAGCCATTCTTTAGGTACTCGAACAGTGGATAACTTTAATTATTCTAATATAATAAATACGATTAATCTTTTCCAGCCGTAGCCCAAAGTAACTTATGCCGTTCCTCTTTCGTGGTGTAGGTGTGCACAGACTGCTAGCCATTGCTTGCAGCGAAAGCGCGAAAAGGGCGAAAACAGGCGTATTCTAGCCCTTCGTTTCGATGGTCGAATTGAGCAGTTTCCGCCAACGTTGAGATGCTTGCTGTAGGAACTCTATGACTGTAGCGGCATGGTCCACTTTGAAATCCGCAGCAGACGAGGCTTTGCTTTCTGGGGCCTAATTTTCCAAACTTCCCGAGCGTGGTTCTCGCTTCTGGTGCAACGGAACAACTCCGCACTTACATGAGGGCGCGTGCAAGGCGTCCATCTTACAGTTAAGTCCTCTACTGCCTACAATCCCCAAAATTGATGTTGACTTGTCAAGCACTTCATCCATTGCTGCGAGTGGACTTTTACTTAGGACCGAATCGAATGATTATTCGATTATTCGAATAAATCATTCGAATGAGAATGACTCGAAAAGTCGAATATTCGAAAATCTGAGATTTCGAATAAAAATCGAAAATCGAATATTCGATGGTTATCAATTCGATCATTCGATGGTCATCGAATATTCGAATATTCGATGACCGTCGAATGATTGAACTGCATAAGCATAGCACGTCACTGTAGAAGTTTCTATCAAACTACAACCTCGATGGGGAGTGTACATATATTTTTGTGGTCCTGGCGCAGTAGTCTGTACAATAATCGTGATGCACCATTCCTGTCGCAGTATGTAGCTGTTATAGATCTTTCGCTATCCAGGGACGCCAGGAGTTTGATGGTTTTCTCCAACAGCGTCTATCACTTTCTTCATGAGCGTCAATGAGTAAACTTTGAAACTCAAACTTAGACTTTAAACTTTTAGACTTACCGTAACACGGCGGCTTTATGACTTTAATGTGAAAAAGTGAAAAATGAGTACCATATTCGTAATCAGCGCACCGAGTGACCCCCTGGACCAAGGTTTTACAAGATTTCAAAATTTTGTAGAGACCGGCGCACCACGATACCCCTCCCCCCCCCCCCCCATCATGCTTGCTGAAGTACGAGCAAAATGTACTTCGAGGTCTTTGGCTGGCCCTTTTCTTTTGTACACTTTCTCTTTCTCTGACCAAACTTGGAGTTATTGAGTCCCAAGGTATACTGTAACGCACACCAAACTCAAAGTTATCGCAAAGCACTGCTGCGCGTTTGGTGGCGCTGTTTCTTGTGCAGAACGATCTCGACGATGTTTTCTTACTAGAAAAACCACCGGTTACGGAGTCTCTTGCCATATCATCGCTTTCTACATTTGGTCCATTCAAGCACTTGTTGAGGGGTCTAAGAAAGGTGCGCGTTAGTTCAGACATAACTCAGAGTCAAGTCAGAGTATTGTGAGTTTCGACCAGATTACTACCGACCCTGAAATTTCTTGATGTACTGAAGTTTTGAGTATCTTTTAAAAAACAACACAGCTTGAAAAATTGACTTGTTGACTTGACTTTTGAATGAGCCTGAGGTCTAGTGCACGCTGTTTTCCATTCGCATTCGGAAAAAGTGACAGAGTGAACGTGAACGTAAAGATGTTCGTGATATCGTCGCCGCGTTACTTCCACTCGACATTGTAAATTGAGGGCGTGTTCAAGGTAATTGTACTAGTGACCGGAAGGAATAGTGTTGGGTCAAAAAGCTTGTCGTTTATTGTAATGTGAGAACACGGATATAGTGTAACAGCAGTCAGTATGATATTTCCAGCAGCGGTCTAGCTTATTGCATTGCCAACGAGAGAAAGATTGCTCATTTCCATGGGTGTTGATTAGAAAGCTGTGTGTATAGCATTTATACAGTTCAACAATGTGCATGCTATATCTGTATCGTCGGGTTGTCGACAGCACGGGCAAGATGTAGAGAGTCCGCGCAGCGCGCTGAGATATATTTCATGCACTGCACAGTAGTAGTCGTATGAAAGGGAACACAATATTACTTCTTCAGCCATCGTTCGGCCGTCTTACAGTAAGATAGTCGTCATTTCAATTGCAAGCGGTGTTACGTTCTGATTCTAGAGGTTTCTGAACTGCTTGAAATCGCATAGCTTACAAATTTCTAGAAGATTACGTTATTCACAACTTGCATGATTATTTCATGATTAGACTTGTATGCAATACTACCTTCTTGTCAGTCACTTGCAAACTTTGTAAAGGGCCGGGCATACTTCACGCGATTTCAGTCGCGACGCGATCTGGCAATTCGCCAGAAGTCTTCAGATCCAACACTAGCAAACTGCACGTGCATAGTGTGTATGACTTACGTGGATTAATAAAATGCCATATCTTCTGCACCTTTGAAATGTGCTTACAGTGAGTTATAAACAGTTGGAATACTGCCAAGTCGCGTCGCGACTTAAATCGCGTGAAATATGCCTGGCCCTTAACGCGGACTGGTCATTGTTGTTACTGATCGAACGTGCATTCTTTATTCACTGGCTTAACACGCATTAACTGTAGCACAGCTGGGGATGTCATTATAATTCAAAGCTTAGCTTCTGCTCTAATCAGTGCTGTTAGCTTCTACACTAATCAGTGCTGTTTGCAAGAGTTTGCTCTACTCCATGTAACTTGTCCACAGCATTCACGTTTGTGTTTTACTTTCAAGTATATATGAACTCCACCTTCAAGGAAAGATCGCTCGAAAGATGCAGAGATTTACATAAAGTCTTATACCACCATTCTACAAGCATATGTAAAGCATATATAATATGAAATTGAGTAGATAGGGTCGCTAACCTCTTTGTTCGTTTTTTTTTTGAAAGAAAGTTTAATTGAAAGCGCCTGGAATCACGACTGTCAACTGATATAAAATGAGAAACACAACAATATATCTACTTAAGAGCAATCGTTTAGAACTAATGATAACTGTAAAAAGGTGCTTGCTTTGTTCGTTTCCTTTATCCTTTTCACAGCTTTGCATGTTTGGGACTTGTCTTTGTTCCTTCATGGCTGCCTCAAGAAACGTGCTCGTGTATACTTTTTTCCTACACACTTTCTTGTTTTGCTGTTGTCATGAAGGAAAAAAAGTGTTTCTGAAGAATTTTCCATGATAACAGATGGTTTCTGTTTCTTAGTAAGATTAGTCTTATTTTGATACCTCTTACGGACAAGCATTAATCTTCATTAGAAAGACTTATACTATTTGTGCATCAGCAACTCATAAAGGTAAACGTTATAAAAATGACTGGCAGCCTTTGGGTCATGAAAATGGAGACTCCATAAACCTCTGCGACGAGAATTTGGTAGGATTTTAAGCTCGAAAGAAAGTGATAACGTAATCTGAAGGCTGTTTACATGTACAAATATCACTTCTTACGCGAAAAAAACAAACAATCT